AGGATTGGATAAAGACTCATTAACAACCTGTGGTTATGAGTCAGGCTGCCAATCTCAAGGTCAGCAGTTCGAAACTACCAGTGGTTCCACAGGAGAAAGATGAGGTGTTCTGCTCCCATAAAGATTTACAGTTTTGGAAACCCTGCGCAAGGTCACTATGAGTTGGAACTGACTCCCCGGTACTTGACAACAACATATACAAATGATGGAGTCCTGGTGTGGCATTGTGGGTTAATGTGCCAGACTGTAAAGCACCTTGAACTGCAAGGTCAATGGTTCAAGCTCACCAGCTGCTCCTTGGAAGCCCTATACAGGGTCACTATGGGTTGGAATTGACTCAATGGCACTTCACAATATACAGATGATGAGTCCTGGTGTGGAGCTGTGGGTTAATGCACTGGACTTTAAAAGTCAGTTTGAACCACAAGGTCAGTAGTTCAAGCTTACCAGCTGCTCCACAGAAACCCTATACAGGGTCACTATGGGTCAGAATCAACTTGATGACACTTAACAACAACAACACATGTAGCCAATACAATCTTTTTTTGCTGGAAGTGAAAAGGACTTAAAATACTTACTGATGAAGATCAAAGACTACAGCCTTCTGTATGAACTACAACTTAAAGTAAAGAAAGCAAAAATCCCTACAAAGAAAAGATTGAAGTTGTCAAAGAATTAATTTTACTTGGATCCACAATCAGCACCCATGGAAGTAGCAGTCAAATAATCAAATTACATATTGCATTTGGCAAATCTGCTGCAAAAGACTTCTCTAAAGTGTTAAAGAGCAAAGATGTCAATTTGAGGAGTAAGGTGAGCTTGATGCAAATAATGGTTTTTCAAACAGCTTATATGCATGTGAAAGCTAGACAATGAACAAGGAAGGCTGGAGAAGAATTGCTGCACTTGAATTATGGTGTTGGGTAAGAATACTGAAAAAATTATGGACTGCCAGAAGAACAAACATATCTGTCTTGGGAGAAATACAGTCAGAATACTTGGGAGAATACAGAAGCGAAAATGATGATACTTCATTTCATATACTTTAGATAAGTTATTGGTAAGTACCAGTCCCTGGAAATAGACATCATGCTTGGCAAAGGGGAGTGTCAGCAAAAAGAGGACGCCCTCTCCCCCTCCCCCCAATGAGATGACCTGACACAGTGACAGCAACAATGTGCTCAAACATAAGGATTGTGAGAATGGTGTAGGACTGGGCAGTGTTTTGTTCTGTTGTGCACTATGAGTTGGAACCTACTCAATGGCACCTTACAACATAATAGAAGAATGGACAACTCTGTCTTGGAAGTAGTACTGCCAGAATGCTCCTTTGAAGAGAGGCTGGCAAGACTTTGTCCCATGTAATTTGGACATATTATCAGAAGGGACCAGACCCTGAAGAAGATCATCACTGGTAAAGTAAAGAGTCATTGAAAAAGAGTAAGACCATCATGTAAACGAATTGACATAGTGACTGTAACAACAGGCTTAAATTTAGTGAGGATTGAGTGCAGTGTTGGACATGGCAGGATTCTGTCCTGTTGTATACAGGGTTGCTGTGAGTAGGAACTGACTAATACCCCACTAACACGATACCATTAAAGGTGGCCTGGACTAGACTTAAGTCCTCTGGCGGCATAGTAGACTAGCTGCTTCACTGTTAGCGGAAAGGTCTATAGTTCAAAAACTACCAGACACTCCTTGAAAGATGTGGTGGTCTACTTCTGCAAACATTTATAGCCTTGGAAATTTTATTGGGCAGTTCTACTTTGTCCACTCAGGCAGTTATGAGATGGAATCAATTTGATGGCCAGGGTTTTGGAAATCACAGTACTTTTGGAGTTGCATTTGCAGCTCACCATGTCCTGGACCACACAAGTCCTACCCTCACCCCACCTTTTTGTTGCAGGTTAATCTTAGGTAAATTGACGTTGTTGTTAAGTACCATGGAGTTGGTTCTGACTCACAGTGACCCGGCACAGGGTTTCCAAGGCTGTCAATCTTTACGAGAGCAGAACACCTCATCATTTTCCCGTGGAATAGCTGGTAGTTTCGAACTGCCAACCTTGAGGTTAACAGCCCAATTCGTAACCACTATGCTACCAGAGCTCCAGGTAAAATGATAAAGAAGGCCGAATTTGCTTTCTTGGAGTCCCACTAGCAAACTCCACCTCCCCCCTTACACACACACACACACACACACACACACACACACACCCTTTGTTGTAGGAGGAGTCCTACCTGAGATATCTTCTGATTCATCTCCCAAGCAAAACTTTGCCAGGCTGCTCCCTTAGGGCCCTGCTCTCAGATCTGGGGCTGATAAACTAATTGGGGCTAATGTGGTAATGAGCAATAATGACATTTACTGTTTTTATCAGTCCCAAGGGAAACATTTGCATTTTAACAGGCCGCTTGGGAAGTATGCAAGGTTGAATACTAGGGAATGGTGGGAATGTTTGGTGAAGGGAGTCTTGGTATGGTGCTGTAGGATAAGCACTAAACTGCTAACCTTAAGGTTGGCGGTTTGTACCTATACCAGTCACTTCTCAGAAACCCTATACAGAGTCACTGTGTGTTGGAATGGACTCAACAGCACTTAATAACAACAACAACAGAAGCGTAGAGGCCTGTTGGCCCCATGGTTAACTGTTGGCCTGGGGTGGTAACTGAAATGTTAGCAGTTGTAACATAACTAGTGAGTATGAGGGAGAAAGATCTGGCAATCTGCTTCTGAAATGATAACAACCCAAAATCCTTATGGGGCAGTTCTTCTCTGTCACATGGGCTGCGGTGAGTGAGTAACAGACTTACCATCACCTAACAACAGCAGGGAAGTAGAGGGGCCTTTGAGTCTCCTTACAGTTCACTCCCCAAACCTTCAAACAGTTCCCTGCTTGAGATCCAACACTTTCCCCAATTCACTCCTGTCCTCCCACCAAGCCTTCTATACCCTCAAAACCTACTGTTGTTTCTCTTCCGTTTATGTTGCATAAAGTAAGACAAGCAAACAAACAAACAAACAAAAACACGAAGAAAGAATTAATCTTATTACTTGTTCTTGCATTTAAATGCTGTCGAGTTGCTTCCAACTCATAGTGATCCTGTATAGGGTTTCTAAGGAGTGGCTGGTGAGTTTGAACTGCTGAGCTTGTGGTTCAAACCAAGCCTTAATCCAGCAGCCACTTGCTTTTGTTCCATACACAGATTTCTTTTTACACTGGGAACTTCTTGGTTTTGATCACAAAACTTGTCTCTCTTTTCCTTTCCTACAGAGGGGAGGACTAGTATATTAAAGAAATCTACTAGGACACTTAGGTCCTGCCAGATCAGTGTCCAGGAAGACCTAAAAGAGAAAGTTAATGGTTAGAAGACTGTATTTTTCCTTGCCAGGAGCGGTCACTCGCCTGTATGAGTGGAGTTACATTCATGACCCAGTGAAGCAGGTGTAGGTAGCTCCCTATATGCCCTTGGTCTCGGGGAATGATGATTGCATGGATATTTGAAATTCATGGATCTTTCCCAGACTTCTACCTCCTTCTTGCCCAAACTATGTTGTTTTATTTCCATTTCCAGAGTCTTGATCTTTCTCTCTTTAGCTCCTATAAGGAGTGTGTATAAGTAGTAAATAATATCATCTAAGTGTCAAGAGGAGCCCCAGTGTGGTGCTGTAGGATAAGTACTGGACCATAAGGTTGGTTTGAGCCACAAAGCCAACAGTTCAAACCCACCAGCCACTCTGCAAAAACCCTCTGCAGGGTATCTAAGAGTTGGCACCAACATAACGGACTTCACAACAACACGCGTCAAGAGGAAGTGAAGTACCTGGATAATTTGCCGACCTGATAACCCCCCCTTGTATTGTGGAGAGTTGATGTAAAACTTACAGTGGACCCTCCCACCCAAGAGCCTCCTTTTCAAGTGTCCTCCCAAAGCTCTTGCCTGTGACTAGAGGAGACTGACTTTTCAAAATCCATTCAAATTGCCAAGGTTTAATGTCAAAGAATGAGTTCTGATAGCATAGTGCATTACACATTGGGCTGCTAACCTCAAAGTCAGTAGTTTGAGCCCACCCGGGGTTCCTCGGGAGAAAATGAGGCTTTCTGTTCCCATAAAGATTTTCAGCCTCAGAAATCCTATACAGGGTCGCTATGAGTCAGAACTGAGTCACTGGCACACCACCACCATCAATGCCAGAGGGGGTAATGGCATCTTGAGAGAGAACCTATGCTCAATGCCATCTTTCTAGGAGCCTCTGCAGGATCTGGTGCCCAAACTGATAGGCTGTTCTCCAGCAGTCAAAGTTCCTGATGCCAAAGCAGAGGAACTCAAGACACGTTATTACATGAGACAGATGTTCAAGAGGGCATCCACTCCTATACCACCATCTCCTTCCAGTTCAAACTTCTGCTTACTTTATTTCTACAGTCTCCTTTCCTCATGGTTTCTTTGGGGAGTATGGTGTTTTTCACCGGAAAGAGCCTCTAAACTGAGAAGAACCCATACCCACTCCATTGCGTCAATTCCAAATCATAATAACTCTACAGAATAGAACTCTGCATACGGTTTCCAAGGCTGTACATTTTAATTGAAGCAGACTGCTACATTTTTCTCCCATGGAGTAGCTGGTGGGTTCAAACCTCTGACTTTCAGTTAGCAGCCAACCACTTAACCACCGTACCACCAGGACTCCTTGGTGAAAAGACCATTCACCAACAAATCAATTCCTCATCCATTAACAGGTTGTCTCTCTGCTCTTGAGACACCGGCATAACCTGGTTAGACCTGTTTTGTTTGAACACTAATGTGTGAGTTGGCCAAATGCAAATGAGCCAATGCTTGCAATCCTTTATTTTATTTTTTTAAAGAGCCCAGGAGCCAATCAGAGAAGGGGGAAGTGACTTAGGGAATTCCCGGTTGGTGGCTTATTGCTTAACATCCTACAAAATGATTTAAAATTATTGTCATATGCATTTATCTTCACTCTGGTGAGGGCTCAGACGTGATAACACCCGTGGTTCCCCAAATCCGCAGGAGCTGGCGTGTTTGCTGCCTTCTGCCTCCCCTCCATTAGCCTCAGCTATTGGATTTCCCACCCAGAATCTTTAGGTAAATGAGGTAAGTTCTTATTTTTAAACCTTCTTTTGAATCTTGAATTAAGACACTTGAATGGAAAGATAAGCCTGCCTTGAATCAGACGGATGAAAATAAAGCCGACTCCCTGTGGCAGCTGGAGTCAGCTATGGCAGGAAGTGAAGTTCCTCTTACCTGTGGCTACCTGCCTGGTTCTTATTAGAGTTGCATTTTGGAGGGCACCTGGGTTATTTTGGATGCTATCTGTGAATCCCCTGCATCAAATCTGGACTTCCAATCGCCGTGAATTACAAAGCCACCTGCTCTCCCTCTAGCTGCGTGACATAGCCATTTCCCTGGATTGAATTCTTCTGAAACCAGTAGGCAGATAGAGAAAGGTGATTCTGAACTAGCTCAGTGAGAAGCTGGGTGGCTAAATGATTGTTGGGCTTGGAGCACATGGTCACACTTTCTAGAGATGTCTGTTGTTGGTCATTTTTCTGACACACAAGTTACTAGGAAAGGCAAGTTCATCTTCAGTATGATTTGATGTTGACAAATGGCAGGAAATGGGCAGGGGTGTATTTAAGACCCTGGAAAAAGTCATCAGGTAGCCAAAGATAGGCATGTGTACACACCTAAAAAAGACTCCATCCAGAAAAGAAATCCGTTTTGACAAAAGACTTCACCATGTCACAAGGAGACACACTAACCCTCTGTTTGTCCCTTAATGGGATGATAGTATGACTGGATTATCAGAAATGACTCAGCAATAGCAAATATCATCTAAGACAGGGACTCTGTTGATTTGGTTTGGACACCATGGAGAAGTGTTGGCCCCAGGGTGATAGAACTGGGAACAGTTGGGGCACTAATCTTCTTGCTGGTAAATAACAGCAAGACAGTGGAAACGTGACTTTTCACTATCCATCTTTGCTAAGAGTTAGCAGACATCTGTCTTGTGAGACCCTGTATCTCTCTAGGATGAAGTGGAAAGTTCTATGAGTTCAAGCTCATGGCTGTCTTTGCGGGTTATCTGAACTGACTTCAGTAACAAGAAGAGACTGATGTTTGCATGCATCAAGTTTTCTGATGGAAAGTCTAATTCAGGAGTTGGCTCTGTAGGCATGGCTGTGAGAATGAATGTTCAGACAGCTTTTCAATGTGGGTACAGATAGCTGGCGATCATAAGTGGCTGTGTGATAGTTCCACTGAGGTTAAGGAAAGAGTCAATTTCCAAAAGGAGAGATGAAGGCATGCTATTAGGAAGAACTTCAAGGATAAAAGAGATGCTATTAGAAAAGGGTTCCTCAGAGATTTTTAAGAATGGCCTTAATAGCTGCATTTTGAGTTTGTGGAAGTCTCAACTTGTCCTCATTTTGAAACCTATAATTCTGGGACTATGAGAGAGCTTCTCAATCCTGTCTTCTTATAACCTGGAGTCCCGCAGGACCATCTCATTTCCATATCATGATCACTAATGGCTCATGGGGATAGAGTTTTTTAATAATGAAATGAGGATCATTTAGAAATACATGATCAATTTTAAAAACAGTAAATATAATGGAGAAGATGAGAATATTCTATGGAAGCTTTTTTTTTAAAAAAAATTTCTAAAAGTAAACTCAAGGGAGTAACTGGGTTTTAAGGTCTTTTGCATTACCATTCAAAATGGCGACATTACTCAGGATCTCTTAAGGGTGGTTGTGGGTGGTGTGATGCATTTAATCCAGGCCTCATATTACAAAAGGTCCCAAATTTCATTGCATTTGTTATTTTGTGTTTTAAAAGACCTATTTGTGAAGTTTAAAAAATAAGTTTGAAATTTTTCATTCTAAAAATATATTCCAGAAATGGAAATGTCTTAAGTCCCTCTGGATCTCTGAGAAACACTACATTTGCATTCATGAGTTCATGTTATTGAGATCCTTAAATGCTCCAATTAGCTTGCCAATTTTACCCAGATTCCCTCTGCAGAGTCTTTTTTTTTTTTTTTTTTAATTTCTCAAGGGGCTGAAGCAGAATGGAAACTTAGAGGTTAAGGTATTTATTCAACTGCATTCAGTGAGCTAACTAGAAACTGGAAGGAACTCATATCAGGTATCAGAATATGGGTGCTTTGGGCCAAAGTTCACTTCTCGGAAGCCCAATTTAGTTTCCTGTAATCTTGCAATGTTCTAGTCTCTCCTCTTTACCCACTCCCCAAATTAGGGATTTTAGCTCTGAGTTCTGTTCATTAAACTATCTTGCTCTTCTGAAAACTCAGTTGTAAGATTCTTGTTTAATGTTAATGGGACAAACACAGATACAGAGGTGCATACAAATCACTGAAAAGTTACTCTCTTTTCCTCTTCCTTCAGACAGAATCTTCCTTGAGTCCTTCTAAACAAATATGATTTTCCAAGAGCTCTGGGAAACAAGGTGGGGTGGATACCAACAATGCACTGGTGGAACGGCTCACACACTTGAAAAGCAATACCATGGTTTTCAGGAACTAAACATGTGAAGTCTGAGCCTGATTTTCTGCATAACCATTTTGCCGCTGTTTCAGCTTATTTCTCTTGTTAAGATCACTCTCTGGCACTCTTGAAGTGACAATCCTTTCTGTTGTGGGTGGAATCCTGGTCAGGAGTCATTGACTACTTAACAGGTAGGCTTGATGTTTATAGAGACCCACATCTGAACCCTGGCTTTGTTACCCGGTAACTGAATGAAATGCAGTGGCTTGCAGCTTGGGAGAGGTGAAACTCAGGTGAAACCGTCATCTAGAGACAGAAGCAGAAAGGTAGCCACATCTTGTCCAACTTCTCTTCCATCTGTTACTGTACAACTGAGAAAAGAGGATAGGTAACTCACTTTATTTCAAATTTTCTTATCCATTTAAAATAATATAATTTATAAAAATACATGATTTAATATGATATATTTGAAGGGATAGGTGATTTTACTTTTCTTATTAGGAATGTGACTAATGTTATTTTTATTTAAATTGGACAGAGTTTTAAAGAGCCAGAATACTAAGTCATATTGGTGTGGCACTGCAGGATAAGCACTGAACTGCTAACAACAAAGTCAACAGTTCAAACCCACCTTGGAAACCCTATACAGGATCGCTATGAGATGGAACCATTTTGATGGCACTTAACAACAACAATGACTAAAGTCATGCAGGAACCAAAACAGTACAATGCTAAGAATGGCTTCTATAATGGTGAATGCTAGAATGAGACTTATATTCAAGTTAAATGACACTGGTGGTGATGGTGTGCCATCAAGTGGGTTCCAACTCATAATGACCCTGTATAGGGTTTCCGAGGCTGTAAATCTTTGTTGTTGCTAAGTGCCATAGAGTTGGTTCTGACCCATAGTAACCCTGTATAGAGCTTCTGAGGAACAGCTAGTGAGCTTGTATCACAGACCTTGCAGTTCAAAGCGACTTTGCAGTCCAGCACATTAACCCACAGTACCACACCAGGACTCTGCTGTAAATCTTTATGGGAGCAAAAAACGTCATCTTTGTCTGGCGGGGCAACTGGTAGATTTGAGCTACTGACCTTGCAGTTAGCAGGCCAACTTGTAGTAATCCACTATGCGCTAAATGGCATATA